AAGTTCCCTTCGGTCAAGGACTTTTTCATGCCTCGATTATTGACTGAAGCAAGACTTTCCAAAAGCGGCGTCCAAGAATTTTGGATATCGTCCAAGAACCAGTGCTCCTCAAACTCAGAACATGCAGTGTTTTTTCTAGAATGAAGACGTACGTCCCTGGGTGGGCTCGAACCACCAACCTTTCGGTTAACAGCCGAACGCGCTAACCAATTCCGCCACAGAGACTATGTACTGCTGAATATCGCTAGGAGAACAAATGCCACGTCTCTCGTATAAAATCCTGGCTTTGCATCGCATTGTTACCACAGGTCAAAATATGGAGCAATCCATAAGTTCCCTTCGGTCAAGGACTTTTTCATGCCTCGATTATTGACTGAAGCAAGACTTTCCAAAAGCGGCGTCCAAGAATTTTGGATATCGTCCAAGAACCAGTGCTCCTCAAACTCAGAACATCCAGTGTTTTTTCTAGAATGAAGACGTACGTCCCTGGGTGGGCTCGAACCACCAACCTTTCGGTTAACAGCCGAACGCGCTAACCGATTGCGCCACAGAGACGATGCACTGCTGAATATTGCTGCTCGCACTAGTGCCACGTCTATCGTCAAAAATCCTGGCTTTGCATCGCATTGTTACCACAGGTCAAAATATGGAGCAATCCCTAAGTTCCCTTCGGTCAAGGACTTTTTCATGCCTCGATTATTGACTGAAGAAAGACTTTCCAAAATTTTTATTTAGTTTAAACATATTCATTTATTTGTCCTATTCATTTATCATGGGATATGTCTGGATGATTTTAATACCTAATGTTACAAGAAATATGAGTTGTGTAAAACAAATCATGCACTTTTTTTCCTTTATGTTTCTATGTTATATTTAGCACTTTAATGTAATATTACCCACTCACACTTGTAATGACTCTATGGCTTTATATTATTATATATTTGATGCATACAAACTATAATAATTTTTTTCTTTGTAATAAAACGCAATAGTTGTATTTTACTGTTTCTGAATAAATATCAAGTTTACTCACAACAGATTATTCTACTTTTTGTTTATTTCATTCAGAAAAACGTATCTTCTCGATAAAGTTTCTTCTGAGTAACTTTCAACTTCACAAACAGAATCCTTTAAAAGTAAATCTTTAGGAAGCTTAGAAATATGTTTTTCACTTATCACCATTTTTTCATTTACTTTGTTTCCAAACCAGGGGTTTGCTGTGTTTCTACCTCAGCCTGGGAGCTTGGTTTGGGGAGACCAAACTGAAATGGCATGCAATACTTTTTGCAAAATGTCAGAGTTTAGCAGCTTGTTGATTGCATAGAATTATAATGTGAAACCATACATTTAAAACAAAAGAATTTTACTTGTGGAATTAAAACAGTGTTAAAAAAATAACAATCAAATCTACTGTGTGTATATATTTAATGAAACGGTTAAATAAAAATCTATCAACAAGTGTTTATTGATCAAGCAACTTATAATAAATAAAGCAAATATTGGAGAACAAATAGCCTTCAAACTATCCAGTCCTTATACATCATGAAGGGAAATAAATATTTTTTCAGACTGTTGTCAGACATCAAAAGTCAAAGTCTGGACCACGTTATTAGCTTAAGATGTATTGCAAACCCAATCCTCCACACTGCTTCTTTATCTGTGGTTCATTCTCAGCTCTCCTTCTTCTCCTTCCCATCTTCTATGCCTTTCTGTTCCTTCCCATCCATGTCTTCTCCTCCACAGCCTTACATTGCCTTGCATTATCCTGTTGCCCTTTTACATCTCCATGGCCACTTTTCACACTGTCCTTGTCTGATGATTTAAGACAACAATGGTAAAACTTTATAGCACTTTCACAAATAAATCACAGTGTTAGAACACAAACATAATACAAAAAATCAACAGCAACACATGTTCAAGCAGGTTCTGAAGTATGGGCTTTAGTTTCCATAGAGATCCATGCATCCATTTGTCCATCCATCCATCTATTTTCTTACACCCTTATCCCATTGGGCTAAGGGAGCAAGAGGGCATCCAGGGTGTCACACTGGACAGGTCGGCAGGCCATAACAGAGTTTCCATAGAGATTGCTATACAAATCAATCTTCCGTTCAGTTCTTCGATATTTCATTATTACCATCCCTGTGATATTCTCGATTTTTCTGTTGCTATCTTAGTCAGTTGTGTCTTACTATTAACATTATTATACATTCCTTAAAGACATATATTCGACAACCAAGATGGTTCTGTTCTTCAGCTTCTAGTGTCAGAATAAACCACACTGTCCACAGTGCTGTACGTCACCGTGGACGATTGGCAATCGAAGCTTCGGTGGGGCGAAGACAAACTCGAATAGATGACGGATTCTGCAGTCTGTAAGAGGAGGCTGTATGAAATAATCGTTTGAATTTACATATTTGCTGTGGCATAATATGAAAAGATGAACTCACCTGATCAACAAAAGATCTTTTCGGGGGCCCTGGAGAATGATTAAAAGTAAAACCTCTGATCAACTCAATGCAAAAGTAACAATTATCTGATTTTTGTGCGTAGTTTTACATACCAGCAGACGCTTTCCTCCGGGATTTACAAAGCATCCAGGAAAGGAGGAGAATCGTGATTCCAAAAATGATGTTTGACGTCACCAGAACAACAACAGTTGGATTCAGTCCACCTTCAAACAGAAGGACACATAGAGAATAAATGTGCATTTAAATAAATCAGAACGTCATCAAAAAGGTAATATATTTCAGTCAGGGAAAATGTGTTGAAATAGTGTAAATTTTAAATCCTCTCACACATTTTTAGTGAATTATGTTGTCATTCTGATTAATTACAGTAACTGAGACTAATTCTTTTGGTATCCTACGCTTAGTTAAAACTTCTCTCTACATTTCTTCAATGTGTTTTGCTTCTATGTTGCTTGTGAACTTTTTTTTTCTTCACCAGACTTTTCATCTTATTTAAATTTCAATTAATATGTTTTGATATAGACATGTGTGAACAGGCAGCTAATTTACAATGATTAACTGTGACTTACCCTACTTACCCTTCTGTCAGTCACTTTCTGTTGGAAAACTGTTAAGTCAGCAATCTTCCATATGAGTCATGTAGGTCATGATATGGACATAATATACTTTATGTTTCTTTTGTTTTTGTTTTATCAAAAATGTTATATGAATAAAAACAAATTTTTGATTTTTTGATCTGTAAGCCAGGATCATAAATTTCAATGTATATAAAGGCTTTGTGTGCAATAAATCTGTACATTTCATAGGTTGAGCCGAATTTCTATAATCTTGTTTTTATTATTGAACCGATTTGAAGTGCACTGCTAGATAGAAACCATTTAGTGACTCTCTTACTGTTAAAAATCATGGTCACATTTCCAAACTGTGTCTGTCCACACACGGTGGCGGCGCAGTAGTAGGTTCCACCTCCGTCGGAGTCGACGTCTCTGATGAAGAGCTTGTGCTCGCAGGTCATTTCTCCGCGCTCGGTCCTCCTACAGGAGTCGTCTGTTTTCCCAGACACGTGAATAACTTCTGGAGCGGAACGCTGAGAGGTTTTCAGCCACATGACCCCAGTGTCCTCTGCTGTGCACTGAGCGGCGTGGAAAGTACAGCTGAAAGGCACGGCGTCTTCTGACCTGACTGGCGGCTGGACATCAGAGTGGTTCAGCTTCACACCTTGGAGAAGAAATCAGATCTACTGTAATCAGAAGAGCCAACTAAAACTAAATCGATATGAGAATAAACTGAATACCTTTTAGCATCAACAAGGTTCCTGACCCAAACTGAATGTCAGATAGCCGCAAAACTCCACAGAAGTACGTTCCAGCGTCATCCCAAGACGCTGCTGATATGGTCAGGTGATTATTGTTCCCAATGGAGTTTACTGAGTAGCGATGTTTCAGTTCATCAACACTAACTGCACTCCAATTGTAGCGAGAAGAATACGTTGCAACCACCTGCAGTCTTCTGTCTGCTGTAAGTTTGTACCACACTCTGTCATTAATTATACTCTTTATGAAGCATTCGATGGTCACTGATTCTCCGATCTTCAGCGTTTGTACAGAAACGGGCTGAGAGACGTCACTGGACTCTGCTTCACCTGCAACAAAACACACAGGAAATCATCACGTTTGTGCACACAGAAGGAGAAAAAAGATTTCCTTCAATCTACATTTTTTTGTTTGTACTCACACAAATAACAGAGCAGGAGCACGGTTGCAAAGAAAACCATCTTCGCATCTGCTTCTGTACTTCCACTTATTTGCAGCAGTCAAGCCCAACTGAAATGGCAGAAAATTACCATGCGTAGACTTACCAACACCAGGCTGTTCTACATTCTGCCACTTCTATCAGCTCTGATTGGTTCATAAAATTTAGCACAGAAAAGCATGATTTGCTGATTCCTGAGGAAGCAACATAGTAAGAAAAAAAAGTGGTTATTTAAAGCAGCTGAATGAGTCAGACTGTCGTGGGAGTTCTGGCCTTGTTTTGTCTTCCAGTAGTTAGGGCAGCAAAATGTGATGTTTATGGGTTTTAGTGTGAAACAAGCAAGCAAGAGAAATGACATAGAGTAGAAATTTTTATAATCAAAACTTCAATTATTTAACACTTCATCATTGTGTTCAGTTAATTATATAACAGTCACAATAAATATAAAGTACTATTTCTTTAAATTCTAATTGTACTTGGGGATTTCTTTTTTTTCAGTTTCTTAGTTTATCAAAACTTTGATTTTGGTTTCATCCAGTGGTGGAGAAAGTACTCAAAAAAATTTACTTAAGTAAAAGTACAAATACACAGACAAAAATGTACTCAAGTAAAACTACCACATTAACATTTGTACTTAAGTAAAAGTAAAAAAGTACTGGCTTTTAAAAATACTTAAGTATTAAAAGTAAAAGTACATGCTGAATGCATTATCTAATTCCTAATACAATATCATTAAGTGAACTGATCGTATTTAATTTTAATACATTAGAAATGTGTCATTTTAATGAACAATGCCACAGATAAAGCATGTTTTATTATGTTTACTCTCTGTAAATTAGTTTAGACTTAGATATGTGATTCTATGCATCATAATTTCAGGGATGGAAACATTTCGTCTCCTTTCCTAACATAGCATGAACTTCACTTTTTTTGCCACTAGTGGCTTTTATTTTGAAAGAAATCCAACAGAAAGGGGATGGAAAGAAGGTGGGTGAGGGAGGACATGGAACCGATGAGCCAAGTAGCAGAGTTGTAGTCAAGACCAAGTCAAGACCCTGCACTACGTGACACAAAAACATTAAGTTTTACCTATCAAAACTGCTTCTCAAATTGATCTGAAAGATCCACACTCCCATAAAGCACCTAGATATTAAATACTTAGAGCTGAAATAAATTTAATCAGTAAAGATCCGTCCAGAAGAATCGGATCGTTGCTGAATGTCATATCAATGCAGATTTTGCTCACAGCGTTGTTCCATATTTGCTACACCTCAGTCAACACCTCCACACAATAATTAAGCACATGAGTGACAACTTTTTTTCATCGCCGATGCAACATATCTCTGTACAGCTAGCTTTGCTAGCATCACGTCCACAGATCTTACCTTGCAAGGGTTGTGAAAAATAAATGCTCCTAAAAATGAATCCCTGCCAGAAATGCATTACTTATTTGAGATGAGGTCAAAACTATTACTTTTCAAAGCATTAACGAATCAATCCTACGCTGCGCATTTACACAGGTAGCATAAAAATGGAGGACAGCTCAGGACTGATGCTACAGGCAGAGACATCTAGGACAGTAGGTGTCCTGAATAGATTATCTCCTCATCTGATCCCTGTGAAAGTCAAAACAGACGCTTATCTCCAAGCGTAGAGAAAACGCCTTCGACTCTTGGTGCTCCGCCTCCATTTTACTGATGTATTTGGCAGATTAGGTGAAAGCAACACAGTTTGGATTTTTGTTTAATCTGGAAACAGAGACTTTAAGTGCTTCTAATCAATGTTAGCTTTGTCATATATTCTATGTTATTTACTCTCAATTAATAATTCAAATCAATCATTTTGTTGCATAATACTGCTGATACTTTAATAATTAAGCATTAATAACAAAAAAGAAGCCAGTAACTCTATGTATAGACCTTTTCAGGGTTATACATAAAGGATTGCTGACTCATTCTACAAACAGTGCAGAAGAAAGCACAAAGACTCTATTTCCATGCACTGAAAGCACTGGGAAGAGATATTCTCTCTGAGAAAAATAATTATCAGTCATAATTTGTAGCTTATGCTATAGTTGGATGGATTTATTGTGATAATTATCCAGTAAAGAAACAAACCTTTCCCTTCTCACACTGATACCAGCCTTCTCCTCATTGCGCTTCTACATTAGGTTTTCACATCCCTTTGTCAAATGGGATCAATAAAAACGACTGGCAAAAACAAATATTGCTACAAAAACTCATGGAGGAAAGGCAAGTTTATTTATATAGCATCATTCAAACGGAAATCAATTCAAAATGCTTTTCAGGATATCCAGAGTAATAATACATGAAAAAAATGATAAGCTTAAAGGCATTGCATTAAAAGAATACTGTTAAAATACAGATATCAAAGACATAAAAAAACAAATGTTCTTAAGTGGGATTGTTAGATCAGTACACCAAAAATATTTTCAGCTCTGAATTAAAGGTTTCTGTACATCTAAGGTTTTCAAGAGGCAGGAGTTCATTCTGTAACCGATGATAATAATATTAAAGGTATTACAAAATGAAAACCTCATAACTCTAACTACAAACTCAGTACTACATCTTCAGAGACACACATACAAAAATGTCTACCTTCTAATATCTGTAGTAGACACATTCACTCCAGACTCCGTCCTTCTGTCTCATTGATCTGTTGGTTGCCACGGCTACAGCAGTGCGATAGCTCTTTTCTCTGTTCTGTAAAAAAACAAAACAAAAACAAAAAAATGAAGTGTTTATAGTCATTGCAACATGCAGGAAAACTGTGACTGGATGAAGTTTAAATGTTAAAGGTTAATTCACCTTCACGTGAGCCGGCGGGCGCTTTGGTTGGGGCTCTGCTTGTGACAAAGGAAATGCTTGTTTGATGACAAAGCCAATTATTATTAATAAAAAAAATCTTTAAGTAAAATTAATAACATTTGAAAATTGTGTTACCTGAAGATATGGATTTTGTTTTCGTAATGATCTTGCACACTGATAAAGCCAGTAAAAGACTGAGGGCAGAGGTGAACGCACAGGCTGCACTCAGAAATATGGTAACTGAGTCATCTGCATAGAGGGAGACGATACAGACAGAGTTCTTACTTGTCTTTTCTTTTGAAAGGACAATTTGAAAGGATTTCACAAGTTTAATTCATAAACTGTGATATCAGTACTCACATATTGAGTCCAGGTTAGTTGTGTTTCCGAGCAGAATCTGTCGGCATGAGGCGACGGCGCAGTAGTAGTCCACAGCTTGAGACGCATCCAAGCCATTCAGAGGCAGGTCATACACACAACTGTGAGCTTTTGTATTTGCTTTCTTGTCACTCATATTGTCGCTGCTTTTGTGGGTGAAAATCAATTTCAGGAAAGAGTCTTCAGAGCCTTTGAACCAGTATAAAGCGTGCTCTCCATCGTTTGTCCCATTTCGTAACGTGCAGCCTATCGTTGCAGAGCCAAACAGCTGGAAGTTCTCCGATTTTGACAGGTTTACGACGCCTTCGGTTTTCAAGCCCAATCCTTCCACATGGACAGTAATGCCCTCCAAGAATTCAAACGCGTGAGAAAACAGGCTGACACAGTAGTAAGTAGCCGAGTCTGACATTTGCGCATCTAGTATTTTCAGGTGGAATTCGCTGCTGCTGCATTCCAGTTTGAACCGTGGATCTCTGGTGATCGGGTCTCTGGGAAGAGAGCAGTTTTGCTTGTGTTTGTAGAACTCAGCTATGAGCTGGGCTTTTCTCCCCACGGTTTTTTTGTACCAGTAAAATATCAGTCCATTATTGCGTTGGTAGAAACATTTCAAGGTCACGTTCTGGCCAACGTGAACGGATTTAGAATCCAAAGGGGACGACGGTGCCAATGCTGCCGAAGGAGCTAAAGAGAAAATCGAAAAGAAAATCAAAAGTGGTTATTTATTACAGCTGCAAACATATTAAATATGCTAAAAATCCATGAACAAAATAACATTACATACCAACTGTTGCCAATAACAGATAGAAAACCTTCAGAGTAGTCATTATGTTTAACCCTTGTGTTTACAAATGGGGTCCAACCGACCCCACACCCGCATCACTTGTATCATTTGACTCAATCCTCACAAGCGCAAGGGTTAAATGGTTGCGCTGGACTGATACAATCTCTCAACATGTTCTACTTTCTTATGAGCGAACTGGATGCTGCCACCCAATCAGAAATGAGGAGGGAGTCAGTAAGCCTGGTGTTAATGCTGGGCAGCAGACAGGAAGATGTGATGACAGAATTGGTTGAAGTCATTAAAATCATTTGAAAGTTCTCACTGTGATGAAGATCAACATCAGTGTAAGGGAAAGTCACTGAACTATGAGCCCTGTGTAACACATGTTCATTACACTGATTTGATTTGCATATCATGAGATGCTTCTGTGCTTTATTTTACTGGAAAACCTGTTTTGCATAGGTAGATAGATATATATTTGTAGAATCACTCCACATTTGTAGGGCTCTTAACATAGTTTTTTGAAAATCTTAAAAAGAAATCATCTTAATTTGTGACAGTACCATTGTCACAAAGTCATTTGGACAGCACTTAGACTTTGTGAACCATCTAACAAAGTTGGGGCAGACATAAAAGCAGATCTTTAACCAATCCTATTTGTTTAGTTTCTCTATATCATCCAAGGTCAGAGCGTTCTCTGTCATGCGACTCCCTGTTCTGATCGTCCCTCTGCATTTAAAATGGAATGAGCTCCAGGGACTGAGAGGGAAGAAGCTGATTTTACATTTGATGAATTGTTTCTGAGGTGATTTGCTCATGTGTTAATAAGTCGGGTGTTAACAAGGAAACACTGGATCTTTGTCCAACCTTACCTGACATACTTCATACTTCCTGAAGTTGTTTGCCTAAAACCAGCAGATATATGGAAAACCTTAAAAGCAAAAAAGTTCATTGTACCTATTCCTGGCTGGTGAATATAAGCAAATATTTTAACTGTAATTGGTATCATATTTCCTGGCATCAGTTGAGTGGATTGTTCTCTGATTGTTCTCTCTCTTTTTTCTTTGTTTTTTTTTTACATATTT